GAGAGAAGGCTCTGGCCAACAGCCAACCGTGAAACGGGAACCTCAGTTCTACAACCTCAAGGAACTGAATCCTGCCAACAACTGTAATGAGTCTGGGAGTGGACTTCCTTTGAGTCTCTAAGTCAAGGACTCAGCCCCACTGACATCTTAATTGCAGCCTTAGGAGACCCTGAGCAAAGAACCTGATGGACTTAGTACTTACAGAACCAGGTGTTAGTAAGTGGGTGTTGTTTTAAGCCATTGTGTTTGTGGTGATTTACTCTGCAACAACAGAAAATTAATGCAGTGCTGAGGAATAACCCACTACTAGAGAGGAAAAGGAAAACCAACTGACCATACGAACGCTACATTTTTCAGAGGGCTTATGTTTCAGAGGTGATTTGTTAAGTTGTTTCATGTTGGAAAAAAAAACAACGTGTGTCTAAGACTAGAGGTGATAATTCTAGGAAATGGGGCAAACTGAAGTCCAGGACGAATATGAAACATTCAAACCTGCTTTTAATATCGGCAAAATAAAATTATACATTAAAAAATCTAGACACTGCAATTCAAAAGAAATCAAATATAGCACAGAAACTTACCCTATTTTGAAAAAATGATGCATGAAAATGTGATGTTGTAGCAGATATTGATACTAAAGTAATAGTTTCTTCAGAACTAGGATTATGTAAGTAAACTTTTTCCATTTTTGGCATTCCAACTGGTCTGTAAAACAAAAAAAATTATCACAAATACTTCAAAGATAATTTCTAGTTGTTGAGTTAATTGCTAGTTGTTAAAAAAACTAAACACCAAAATTATTAGATGAATACATATCCAAATGTATGAAACTTTTTATCAAGTTGGTTTATATTTAAAATTACATATAAAAATGCATTTAGCCATTCAACAAGTAGTCATTGAGTGCCAATTTTATGTCACACACTGAACCAGGTGCTGGGATGTCAGGAGACAAGTCTCCGCCCAGATGAAGTTTATAATCTGGTGAGGAAGCAGGAGGGAAAATGGTCAGAGCACTCTACGTCTTTTTGAAACACCACCTGCCTCTCTGCTAATTCTGAATCATGTCCACCTCTCCCCATATTTCACTGATACATGCTCTTCAATTCAGGAAGAGAATTTTAGTGGCAAAGTTATGTGAGCAGATCTGCCATATGAATCAGGGGCCATTATCCTCACTTCATAGATGAAGACACTGAGGTGCAGAAAGGTTAATTAACTTGCCTAAAGTCATCCTTGGAACCTAACTGAATCCAGGCCATCTGAATCTCGTCCCTGCTCTCGCCCAGTGTACTACACTGACTCCTCTCAAAGGAAATATACAAGGCACACGCTCAAGGTCTGATATTCACAGATTCATTTTAACATCCCCCTTGGCATCCACGTTAGAATTTATGGCCGTAAAAGTGCACCTCCTCAGTGTGCAGTCCGTTAAGTTCCTCTGTAGCTCATCTTATTTGTCCAGGCTTATTAACTCCTACAGCTTAAGAGAATTCTGCACATAAATTACAGTTTTTCATAGTGCTCTGCAGTTATTTAATTGGCACCTGTCTTATTTCTTCAACAAGATTATCAGCATGTTGAGGACAAAGTTTGCGTTACTGTCTGTACCACGTACTCCTGTCAACCAGTACAGCACCAGGCACGTGGTCAGAACATGCGTGAGTGAGCTTGCCCTCCCCGCCCCCACCTGTGACCGCAGTGGTGACTTAAGGTCCTCCCTAATGTGGCATCTAGTCTACGCAAGTGACTCCATGTTTCCACCTGAGCCAGGCTGGTTCTGTGTGCACGACTCCCAGGCCTTTACCAATGTTTTCCTCCCCAGCCTCTATGTGAATCCAAACTCTCATGTTCTAATTCAAGTACCAGTTCTTTCACAAGGTCCTCTCTCCCTGCAAATATTTTGTCCTACGTTTTCTGAGATTTTATTTCATCTGTATAAACCTCAAATTCCGAGCAGCTGAAGACGCAGAGCCAGAAGTGTGTTTTACATGTAGTTCAAATGTCCACCATGCTTTCACGCTTCAGGAAGTTTTGCCCCTGCCTCTTCCTCAGTTCTCTTTATACCTCTGACTTATGACTTGGGAAAATTGGTAAAACAGTGAACAACTAGTTGATAACTTTCATTTGTTAAAAAACAAAACAAAACAAATCAGGGGCTTTGGGTTCCTTTAAAGATGGTGAATTAGTCCATGTTACTTGTTCTCTCTGATATCCCCCGCCCCCCTGCAAACTCCTGGTACACAACAACAATGCTAGAAAAACTTAGAGCTTAGAGGCAGGTACTGATTCCACCTTGGGGGAACAGAAGGCTGCCTGAACTGGCAGGTAGGGTAAAGTGAGGGACAAAGAGCAGCCTAAGCTGACGAGAGGCCAGGAAAAACCTCTTCTTCTCCACTGTCCTCCCTGTTTGCCTGGGTACAATCACAGCCTGCCCCTCTCGCCCAGAGCAGCAGAAAGGCTCACTAGGGTAGGAAGCTGCTCATCAGCTGTCCTCGAGCACATCCACCTTTAACTCCTCTCTCTGGTCCTGCAAAGTCCTGGGGCTGTTAGATCACAATTTAGAAAGACACCTCTTCCAGATGCTTCTGCCTAAGTATTGTCAGATAGTGTGGTGGGAACACAGGACAATCAGTAGTTTTGACACGTGTATGTGTGTGTGTGTAACTGGGCCTCTCTACCCCAGGGATCACATCCCTTAAATTCACAAGAAGGGAACGAGACCAGGGCTTGGCCTTCCGTTCTTCCTCAATATGCATTACAAGACAGCAACTCAGAAGTTCACACATCAAATAACACGCTCAGTGAGCGGCACAATCAAAGTGGAAAGCATACGCAATGCTGTGACAGACTGCAGTGCTGTCCCCAGTTTGCTGACTGAACCTGTGAGAGGCTGATAATTCTGAATGAAAATGAAGAAATCATTAAAAACTTGTGGAATATAGTTCAAGTTGTGCTTAAAGGAAAATTCATAAATTTAAACGTACATATTTGAAGAGAAGAAAGCCTGAAAATGAATGAGCTAAGCGTCCATGTCATTAGGAAAAAAACAGCAAATTAAACATAAGAAAGTACAAAGAATGAAACAGCAGAAGAGTGGAAATCAATGAAGAAAAACATATAAAATAGAGATGATTTATGAAGTCAAAAGCTCCCAGTTTGGGAGTAGGTAGGGGGAACTACCTGGTAAGACTAATAAAGAAAAAAACAGGAGGCACAAAATAGCAGTATCAGCAGTGATACAGAACACATCACTAGAGATGCTACAAACAGTAAAACAATCATAAAATGGTATTAACAACTTTATGAGAGTAAATTTGAAAATCTTCAAATTGTCAAACTCCTAGAAAGCTATAGCTTACCAAAACTGACAAATTTAAGCGGGGGGGGGGGCGGGGAGGAAGTATTACAGAAAATAAAACTACTAAAGAAATTAAATTCACAATTTAAAACCTTCCCACACACAGAACTCCAGTCCAGGAGGACTTTACTGACAAAGTCTACCAAATATTTAAAGGGAATATTCTACCAAACATTTTCAGGGAAAAAGAGATGCTGATACAAAATGGGAAAAGGTGAGAAAGAACTCTGTGAGGCTGGATCTGAACTGGGAAACTATGAATTGGAATGACCAGCATGGACTATGACTTATGCATGTATACA